CGGCGGCGGGGCCCGACCCAGCGCGGGCTGCGGCGGGCGCGGTTTGGCTGGGGAGTGCTTGTCAGTTGCGCGGCCTCTTTGTCGTAGAAGAGGGTCCACGTCCAAGGCGGGTGGAGGCGATGACATTTCATGGAAAGGAGGAAGAATCCACCCGCAGATCAAAGCCTCAGGATTAACTTACCCAGCTCGAGAGAAGCTGGAGAGAGGTTGGCATCGGTTTTTGAAGCAAGGGCCTGGTTAAGAGGAACGGGCGTGAGGCTCACAGGGGAGGGCGTCCTGGTGCCCAGAGGCCGTGCTCCTGGGTGGACGTCCCCCCCACCCCCCGCCCCGGCACAGAGCAGGGAGAAAGGCCACAAGGCCTCAGGCCGTTCTGGACACAGAAATCACTCTCCCCCGGGGAGCCAAAATTCGTGGGAAAAAACACCCCGGACTTCATGCCGCCCCCTCGAAAGCAGGTTTTTGTCCAGCAGGACCCTCTCCCGAAGCTGTGAGCACAGCAAGTGTTTGAGCTGGCGGCAGAGATGAGGAGGAGGGGGGGCGGGCACGTCGAGCACTTGCTGTGTGGGGACCTCACACCTGCCGGCCCTGCGAGATGGCCCCCAGCCCCCCTGCCCCCCCCCCACGGCCACTCCCGGGAGGGGACTCCCAGAAGGGGGCACAGCCGGGCCTCAGCGGGGCTGAGGGGGAGACAGGGAACCTAAGAAAAGCCCCGCACACACACCGGGTCGTCTTACGACGACTCATCTGCCACTTTGAAGATCGTTCCCTGATTTTAAAACACTGAGGGCGACCGGCTCAGCGAGGGAGGCCGGCTGTGCAGAAGGGTCTCTGAGGGCAGGAGGTAAAGGGGAAGGAGATGGTCCCGGCGAGGTTCCGTGCGATGCAGAGGGGCCGGCCGGCCTCGGGGGGGCTCGGGGAAGAGCCTGATGGGCTCAAAGCCACGTTAGTGTGGTCCTCCAGGGACCAGGCCCCGTCCGTATCACACCCACGTGACGCCTGATTTGGATCTGGGGATGTCTCAGCCCATTTGATTTGGGGATGTCAGGGCGAAGGCATTTGTGAAAATGCACAGAAAACTGGTTGTCAATGATTCATCTTCGACATCCCCTCAGTGAGAGGCTAGCACCCTCGTGTGACCGGGTGAGGGCCCTGGACTGGGCCGGAGACGGGGCTGGGAAGGATGCTCACACCCACCCCGGCTGTGGTCACGGAGTCGCCCTCGGGCTCGGGATCCACACGGCCCGGCTCAGCCCCGGGGCTGCCCTCGTGTGCCCCAGCCGCCCTCCGCCTTGGGGCCAGGTGCGGGCGGGCTGATCCGCCGGGGACGGTGGCCCCGGCGCCCCCAGCGTTACCAGCCTCATCCGGCAGCTTCCAGGAAAGGGAACTAAGACTGGAGCTTGGCTTCGGTCTGAAACGAAAGAATCTGAACTGGCCTCCTGGCTTCAGCGGCTCGTCTGTACCGCGGGCCGAGGAACCTCACCACCTGGGCGGGAATGACGCCCCGAGCTCCCTTCCCGCCTCTGTGGGCACCGCGTCACTCACTAACGTGCCCACGGAGCCCACGGAACACCCACGGGACACATTTCTGAGGCAGCCTCTTGTCCCTTCTCAAATGACCACATCCTGCCACCTACCTGAAGCAGCCGGGGTGAGTCGCGAGCCCCACCCTTGCTGGTCCCGTCCCTGCCGTGTCTCAGGCGCCCCCCGGCCCCCACCTCCCCCCATCCCGTGGAAGCGAGGCGTGTGCCAGCCTGGCGTCCCGCAGGACAGGCTGCAAGGGGACACTAACGTGGCCCAAGTGGCCTCGCACGCCTGTGGCGGCCATAACAAAGCACCACAATCGGGGGGCTTTCTCACGCTAGAAATGTGTTCTCTCAAAGTTCTGATGGCAGACGTCAGAGAGGGAGGTGTCGATGAGGCCATGCTCCCTCTGACGGCTCCAGGGAGGGTCTGTTCCAGGCCCCTCTCGGAAGCTTCTGGAGGTCGTCGGCAGTGCTTGGGGCTCCTCGGCTTGTAGCTGCATCATGCAGTCTGTGGTCTTCACTCGGCCTTCTCCCTGTGTGTCTCTGGGTCCAGATGTCCCTCTTTACAAGGACACCGGCCGCATCTTAACTAATCACACCTGCAGTGACCCTGTTTCCAAAGGAAGTCCCGCTCGCAGGTGCTGGGGCATTAGGACTTCAAATGATCACTTTGGGGACGTGGTCCAACCACAACGCGGCACATGGGGACGATACGCCCGATTTCAGAGCCCACGGGAAGAAGCCCACCCGGGAGCCGAGAGGAGAACGTCACCCACAGGCACCCATCTGGCCAAGTGGGCTAAGCTGAGGCGTGGTGGGTGCCTGGGCTCATCCCCGGAACGGAGCTCTCTTCCTCACCGCCCAAAAAGTCCATTTTTAGAGCTCCCAATGCCATGATCCAAAGAGAAGCCTTCCCGGTGCCCTAACTGCTTCGAGAGGCGATATTCTCAGCAGACGGTTTTCGCAGCATCCCACGTAGGTGAGAGACGGGTAAATGTGACTCTTCAGTCACAAACAGAGGGGGGTAAAAATCTCCAACATCGCTGACACATTTAGAAAAAAGAACCCCGGGGGCCTGGGCCCGGGCCTCACCCGCAGCCACGCCGCCCACCCCGGACCCTGGTCCGGGAGCCCGGCAGCCCCTTCCATGCCACACGCTAACCGCCCTCTTGCCCTTGCTTCGCGGAGAAGGGAAGCTGGGAAACAATCAGCCGCTCGCACTGCCCCTTCGGTCTCTGTTGGCTGCAAGGTTCCGTTGTAGTGGTGCAAGGACGTCACGCAGCATTTAGCGTCCCTGGGACCAGGCTCCCCGACACCTAGCTTCGCCTCACTGCGGGGGAGAGAAGGGCGCCCCGGACAGCTCTTTCCAGTGATACCCACCCGCGAGGTGGCGACCGAGCCTCTCCAGAAGGCGGAGGGGACATAGGCGGCGGGCAGGGGTGAGCCCAGCCCCATCCCCGCAGGGATGACTAATGACCCACATTCACCAGCACGTGAGCCCAGCCCAGCGGGGCCTCGGCACCAGGGGCCCCGCTCTGGGAGCAGGGGTGGGGTAGCGCCGTGGGCAGGCTCCCAGACGCCCCTGGAACAGGCCGCACGCCTCCCAGACCCACGCCCTGGGCTTCTCCTGGTCCAGGTTCCTGCTCGCATTCAGGGCAGGGCCAGGCCTAGCTGAGCACAGAGAGGAGTGCCGCCCCGGGGCCGGGGAAGGGCTGCGAGGGCCTGGGGTGGCATCTGAGGGCTCCGGGGTCCGCGGCCCCCACTTCCATCAGAAACAAAGGGCCTCGTCCGCCGGATGAGCCACGGGGAGGGGAGGCCGGGGGCCCCTGGAAATGAAAGCAAAAATAAGCCCCAAATAGAATGAAAAGAAAAGGCAGCGTGCCAGCTGCTCCGTGGCTGGAAGAGGCTGGTTCCCATGGCAACGGGCACAGAGGGGAGGGCCCAGGTGGGGAGGCCCCGGGGGAGTCGCCAGGCGCCCAGCACACGCACCGGGAGGGTCAAGGAAGCTTGCCTCGTGCGACCACCCCCCTGGGACACGCACAAGGCCTACCTAGCTGGTTTAGTTTAAGAGAGAGAGAGAGAGAATGAGCAGGGGAGGGGCAGAGACAGAGGGAGGGAGAGAGAATCCAAAGTGGGCTCCACGCTGTCAGTGCAGAGCCCGACGCGGGACTCGAAACTCACGAGCTGTGAGACCATGACCTGAGCCGAAATCAGGAGGCAGGAGCTCGACCGACCGAGCCACCCAGGTGCCCCAGTGCCGTCTCCTTTCTCAAGTGCACAGACCACGCTTGTCACTTCTCAGAAACGTGTAGGCTGCAATTTCTCGTTCGCGGGCGACCACGGCAATCATCCGGTCGGTGTCTTCTGTGGGTTCGTCGGTGACTCTTTGGCTAAATTTGTGTGAAAACCCCCTCCCCACACGGAGTCGGGTGGGTTTTGTGAGCATCCGGGGGAGGGAAAGAGCACGACACCATTTCATTCTGAAGGCGCCTGTTCCAGAAGGAAAACCGGCTCGTTGCTCTGAGCACAGCCCCCAGGTAAAAGCTCCAGACTGAACGGATGAGGGGGCGAATCCCCAGCAATGACCACGGCTGGCGAGGCCCCCGCCTAAAATCTGGATGCCGGGCCGCCCAGATCCTCTAGGTATAAGTACCTCCTTTTGAAAAGAAATACTGTGTTGTAATCTTTTTTCACTTACAACACCGTGAGCAATAAATAGATCAAATTTTAACCAACGGGCGCCTGGGGGGCTCGGTCGGCTGAGCGTCCGACTTCGGCCCAGGTCATGATCTCACGGTCCATGAGTTCGAGCCCCGCGTCGGGCTCCGTGGAGCCTGCTTTGGACTCTGTGTCTCCCTCTCTCTCTCAAAAATAAATAAACATTAAAAAAAAATTTTTTTTAATTTCTTTAACCAACTTCATCCAGCTCATCCATTTGTCCAGGAGGCCACAGTCCCCTCATTGTCCGTCCACAAACGTGGTCTTTTGCCCTCGTACCTCGGTGGATTCTTTTTGCGTTACCTTTCAGTGCATACCGAATGCAACCTTTCTTTTTCCTCTCTCCCCTAAACTCTCCTTACTTCACATAGTACTCATAATTACCTAAAGAACACGTAATCGTCCGTCGTGGTTTAAGCTATTTCCCACATTTCAGTGGCTTCCGGCTTGGGGTTGTGTTTTCGTAACGACAGATAACGTTGCAGTGAATACCTTTGCGCACAGGGATGGCTGCTTGCATCCAAATCTTTTCTGAAGATAAATTCCCCAGGGTAGACACACGGGCTTCATGGACATGAATTTCTCTGTGGCTCTTACTATGTGGTACTAAATTGCTCTCCCAGAAGGTGGACTTTATTTACAAAGTTTGCCAAGTCCGAGGATAGAGAGCATGTTCACCTTCCGAGAAGGTGGGGAGGGGGCCACGTGCAGCCCCCCCGGGGTACGGCCAGGTCCGCACTCTCTGCCCTGATGGTGAGAGGAGGCTTTCCCTGCAGAGCACCCCCCGTTTGGTGTGTTCTGTCCCCGTGGAGAATATACCTCGATACTGAGGGACGAAGGAAGGCAGATAGCAAACGCATCTCCCGACGGTAGGTGCTGGGGGAAACCGGAAACGTCTGCACGTCCGTGCTGGGAGACTGGCTTGGTAACACAGCCACATCCAGAAGCACTGGGCAAGGATCTGCCTTGTCCCGAAGCCCCACTCTGTGGGGCGCCATGCAGTGAGTGTGGGATATATGAAGTGAGAAAAAAAAAAAGTTGCAAAAGAGGAAGTTTGGTACAATTCCATTTGGGTTTAAAAAAAAAAAAATACAAGGCGCTATCCCTATGTGTCCATGCGTAGGAAAATTCTGGAAGGATACGCCAAACTTAACTGAACGCATTTCCAGGGTGTGAGGTTTAGGGGAAAGAAATAGGTAAAGTGGGGGGGGGGGG